GCTAAACGCGAATGTTTCTAGTTCTAGATTTAGTGTTAGTTCTAGTTATGCACTATCACTAGAACTAACACAAGGCCTAGAACTAGAATAATTCAAGTTTAGCAGTCTTGAGAGACGTGCGGTTAAGCTCGAATATTTGTCGTTCTAGGTCTAATGTTAGTTCTAGAGACAGTGGTAAATAGCGCTAGTTAACATAAGATATGACCAGAGCCCGGACAGTTTAGGAAACGTGCGCCCCTCCACACTAATCGAATGCCTTGATAAGCGTATGCTTCGATTTAATTCATTGAATATTGAGACTGGAGTGGGAGGCGTTTTAGGATCACTTTCCTAAACTGTCCGGGCTCTGGATATGACTATGTTGTATATTTTTATCGAATTAAAACTAGAACTAACACTAGACCTAGAACTAGAAAGTATCGGGTTTAGCCGTGCGTCTTCAGACGAACGGCTAAATCCGAATGTTTCTAGTTCTAGGTCTAGTGTTAGTTCTAGTTTTACACTAGCACTATCACTAGAACTAACACAAGACCTGCAACTAGAATCATTCGGGTTTAGCAGTCTTGAGAGACGTGCGGCTAAATCCGGATGTTTCTAGTTTTCGGTCTAGTGTTAGTTCTAATTTTGCGCTAGAACTAACACAAGACCTAGAACTAGAATCATTCGGGTTTAGCCGTCTAAAGAAACGTGCGGCTAAACCCGAATGTTTCTAGTTCTAGGTCTAGTGTTAGTTCTAGTTTTACACTAGGACTATCACTAGAACTAACACAAGACCTACAACTAGAATCATTCGGGTTTAGCCGCCTTGAGAGACGTGCGGCTAAATCCGAATATTTCTAGTTTTCGGTCTAGTGTTAGTTCTAATTTTGCGCTAGAACTAACCCAAGACCTACACCTAGAATCATTCCGGTTTAGCCGTCTTGAGAGACGCGCGGCTAAAGCTGAATATTTCTAGTTCTAGGTCTAGTGTTATTTCTAGTTTTACACTAGCACTAGAACTAACACAAGACCTAAAACTAGAATCATTCGGATTTAGCCGTCTTGAGAGACGTGCGGCTAAACCTGAATGTTTCTAGGTCTAGGTCTTGTGTTAGTGCTAGTCTTAATTGTTATTTAACGTTAGATTGTGGTATATTTTGCCACTAAACACGTGCGAACGCATAAATTTAGTTTAGTGAATTAGCAATATGTAGTATAATATAATAACAAACATGTTGGGGCGATGGAGCGAAAATACTATTGTCAAGTTTGTTAGTAAAAATGTCAAACATGAATGTTTATGACATATTAAATGTGTTACTTATAAAGACAGGTTAGCAAAACAAAAAGCTTATGAAGATTTGAAAAAGGTTATGAGTATGCAGGTTTTACAGAAAAGGAGATAAATATAAAAAAAAATTAAGGATTCTATGAAATCTGCATCTAGTGCCGATACTGCTTACGTTCCATCCATAAAATGCTTTCAAATACTGGATAATGTGTTAAGAGATAGTAATAGAAGAGCAACTGATGCTCCTAATGAAATTCTTCTCATACACTTTCTAACCAATATACGCGTATTAAGTTTTTCAGACACTTCTTCTTCAATTTCCTCTATAAGCATATGAATTATACTTATTATATTATTGAATTGAGCGTATTAAATCTGGTCAGTTGCCATCTAGTAAACGTTCCAGCGGTAAGTGGCTACTCGCTACTCGAGTAAATTACTAAACATGTCTGTACGAGCCTTTAAGACGGTTTCTAAATCCGGCTTCGCGAAGGTAGAATGTTGGTAATGGCAATAATATACGAAATGCTCTTGTTTTCAGTGGAGAAAAGACATCATTTACTCCCGCCCAAAATTCAAAGAGAGATTTATTACTAAATTCTCTCTTGATTTGGCCGCTTGCAGTAAAGTCTATAAAGATTTCTTCTTTTGGGAGACCATTGGGAGAAGTTCGAAATGGATCACTTGCTACTAAGTTCTCTTCAGCAAGAAAATACTTTTTATAATTCTGTGCCAACATGGCTTAATGACTTTCTATTATTACAAAAACAACTTTCACATACTGTTCTTCTTTCTTGTATGTTTTGAAACACTCATTCACATTTGCAAACATTTGTAGTTGTTTTTTGTTTCACATTTCTGCTCCACAGCTCCAACTTTATACAAAAAGCACTAACTTTATAACTGCTATCCAACATATGAGTTTGCTCCTTGAAGTTGTAGTTTCAGGGCATTTAATTTCTCGAATATATCTGGCCTCGCATTAAAATAGCAACGTCGAATATGTGTTATGGTGTGAGCCTTTTATATCTGGCTATTTTATATGATACTTTATAAGAGGCAAGTAAAGCTTTTTCGTTCACAGACAAAGTTTTTTTGAAGAATGATGTTTGCTCTTCATATGATGTCTGCTGCCAAAATTTTATTAGGGTCAAAATTTATTATTATACGAAAAAGAAAGGTCATAAAAATTGTTATTGAAAATTGGTCCCCGAATACTGAAAGGTTGAGAAATGCTGCACTAGCACTATAACTTAGTGCTAGTGCTAGTACTAGTCTTGAAAGTCGTGCGGCTAAATCCGAATGTTTCTAGTTCTAGCTCTAGTGTTAGTTCTGGTTTTAATTGTTATTAAGCGTTAGATTGTGGTAAACATTAGGGTATAGCGGTGCGTCTCTTAAGACGGCCGAAAACTTAGGGTTATCATAAGGACGTCACCTTTTTCCAAGCAAAACTTTTCCTTTACAAAACTACCCAATGCCTGTGCTATTGTGTAAGCTATAGCTAAATTTACACATGCAAAGATTACTAGCGCCTGTAAGAAGCCAGTTTAGTGGTGCCAATTAGCTGGCGCCAGAAGTTGTTTCCACATAAACGTGATAATTATGTACTGGCACAGTAATAAAAATGGCGTCATGTTCAAATTTGCTCCTTGGAACTCCACATGATATTAAAAAAAAACAAGAACATAGCTGCGGGGTTTGATCGTGGATTGCACGTAGAAATTACTTAGGTGCAAGTACTTTACTTACAATTAGAGAACTATACATCAAATATACACATTATTATGTCATAACTATGCACATCGTCAGCTGATGCTCCACTTCTGCACGACTTTAAAACCTTGTATTCACTTGGCATTGCGTATAGGGGAGAGTAGCCTAGAATGAACAATAAAATAGGACATAAAACGTACAGTTCCATTACATACAGTTAATGCATGACATATTATGCACCGGATCATGTATGCTTTCTTTTCTTCCTCACACATAAAACAAAACTATGTTGTCTTAATTTGTCTCTTTTGTGTTTTTGTTCCAAATTTTGTTTGTTTTTTCTTGTTTTGCTGTAGTTTTAAAAGATTTTTCTTGCTTGTTATTAATGTAGCTTTCTGGACAATTGGTCTAGCTCGAGAAGATGATGGTCCTGGCATTGGATTCAGTTTTGGAGGCGGAGACATTTCATGGAGAACGTTCTCAAAATTTTCGATTGTTCTAGTTTGACATACATCAACAAGAGTGTCATCGCCTTCACTGCCACTTGATAACAACGATATTGGCTCAGGCTCAGTGCTTGGTTTAGGTTGCAAAATATCTGATGGTGCAAATTGGCTATCTTGAAAGACATGCCAAAAACCAGAGGCTCGGAAAGCTTTTTCGGCAGTTGCAACTGTAGTTGCTTTTCCATAATATGCTTCATTCAGCAATTTACAAATCTGCATTTGGCTTATTTTGTCCCCTTTACATTGATCAAGAAAAGTTTCTTATGTCTGAGTGATAGTATTACAGTATAAGTGAGGAAACTATAATTTTTCATTAACGCGTATGTCGAGCTTTATAGAAGTGAAATATTTAATTAATTTTCCACGTGTGCTGTCCACCGTTTTTTAGTTAACATCCGTTACGTTTAAACAAAGAGCTGTTCCAAATTTCTGTTGTGTGTGATATGTCCATCTAGTAATAAAAGTGCCTTTTGTTAATGCTACAATTGACGGGATGTTCAAAATGTTGAGCAACATAAGTAGTCTATATTAAGAATACATTAACTTTATAGTTTTCAAGTTACGATGGTGGTCTAATCAAGGCAACGCTCCAACTTCAGCTACTCTCCCCTACTTCGTATTTTTGCCTTTGCCGAGTTTTCTTCAACATTGGGAACTGTTTTCGGCATAATCTCAACTATCCTTATTAAGGCTTCATTTCTTGAGGTTGGGTCATAATTTTCTGGAATTTTATGATTCCACAAACACAGGTATTCTTCATATGTTTCCAAAAACGTTATTATTTGTTGTGATGTCCATTGTTTTGACGGTTTATTACAAGATTTTATACAAAGACGTTTATACAGTTGCTCGTTTTCTTTACCAATACTACTATTGGCGTCAAAAAGTAGACGTACGGTCAACTTTATCGGCGCTATGATTATTGACGTCAGTTTATTGGCGTCAATGGATTGTTGCTATTTCCACATGCAACTAAACTGGTGTTAGCTGACTGGCCCCAGTAAATTATGCATGTGGAAACTTACCTTAAGTTGCATTTTATGTGGGATAGTGCAAGTGCATTATAGTTTCGTAACTATGGTTACTGCATTCATCTATTGCAAGTTATATGAAATTCTTGGTATATTAGAAATCCCTACAATACAATATTTATAAGATAATTACGACATTAACGTATAAAATATCGATTACTCAATACATTATTAAGATTTATAATGTCGCAAAAAAAAATTATACATTATTTTTATATTAAAGTGTCATTTACAAGATAATTAATAAGCTTCTCATAAATTGATACAAATAATCTCTTATGTCGATCAACTTTCTATCTCGTTCTATACAAGACTGCTCCAACAAGTTAAAATCTAGGTCACCTTTCATTGCGGTCTAAATCATCGGTCTCATTTCCCAAAAATTTATTTATTGACGATTTGTGTAACCTTCACGAGGACATTTAAAATTCCGTGGAAAAAGTGAACACGCGGGGCGTGGTAAGCAACTAAATCCAGTTTACCGTCTTCGTTGTTACCACATTGTTCTGGTATAAAAAGTCCGCCCGCCGAATTCGAAATCAGAAGTCGCTTGGATTTCGATATAGAAACACCAACAAGAATAACAATGAAAGTAAGAACACAACCATTCTTAAATTGTACTTTTCTAATAATATCTTGTTTAATAGCTCTTCATTTTCGCCGCTATCTTGGCTTATGCCAAAGCTGGAGTTATTAGCTCTTACGCTGCCGCTCCTGTAGCTTATGCAGCCCCCGCTGTCCATACTTATGCTGCTCCAGCCGTTCATAGTTATTCTGCTCCAGCCGTTCATAGTTATGCAGCCCCCGCTGTCCACACTTATGCTGCTCCAGCCGTTCATAGTTATGCCGCTCCAGCTGTTCACACCTACGCCGCTAAAACCATCGCTCCAGTTGCTTATACCGCCCCAATTGTTAAAACCGTTGCCCCAGCTGTAGCTGTTGCCAAAACCATCGTCAATGAAGAATACGACCCCAACCCACAATACTCTTATGGATACGACGTCCAAGATGGACTCACCGGAGACTCCAAAAGCCAAACCGAAACTCGTAATGGCGATGTCGTCCAAGGATCTTACTCCTTAACCGACCCAGATGGCACCAGAAGAACCGTCGATTACACCGCCGATCCCATCCACGGATTTAACGCCGTTGTACGCAAAGAACCTTTAGCCGTTGTCGCTAAAGTTGCAGCTCCGGTTGTTGCTAAAGTCGCCACTCCTGTTATTGCTAAAGTAGCTACTCCTTTAACTTATGCCGCCCCCATCGCTAAAGTTGCTGCACCAATAGCTTATTACCACTAAGAATCATGTGAATTGACTTTGTATATATGTATTTATTTTTGATTTTTTTAATAAAGAGATGATTATTGCATAAATTTGTTTTCACCATAAATTCATCTGTTTTAAGTGTTCATTTCCTCTCATTAATTCCATCATGATCCTTTTAGATGTTTTCTTTCGAATTTGTAAATAAATAAACCTAACAATCTCAAGAACGATGTAGCAAATTTAATGAAGATGTAGTGCTTCAAAAATGATTCCTTATTTTGCATAAACTTCGTTGTTATGATTTTTTAAACCGAACTCTCCACACTCATTTCCGTGGAATTAAAAAAAAACATTTGTGAAACATCAATCGATAGATAATTGAATATTTAAATATTAAATTTAAAATTAACTAGATTAGCTTATACTCAATTCTCTCACGCTTTTATAACAGATTTACAATTGGCAGAAAATTAATTAAAACGACTGAGTAAATCGAAAATACGATTACATAAACTAATTTGTATTGTACATTGTTAAAATGGTGAAATACGGTTTAAAACAACAGTTTATTGATAAATAAAATGTTTAAATCATCATAAATTGAAAATTATGAAAAATGTTGTTATTTAAAAGGTTAAAAAATTTTATTAAAACTCGAAAGCGGGAAAATGCAGAAAATGATGTGGATTAAAATTGTTGAGAATTATTCTAGTTCTAGTGTTAGTTCTACTGATAGTGCCGTCTTGAGAGACGTGCGGCTAAACCTGTATGATTCTAGTTGTTGGTCTTGTGTTAGTTCTAGCGCAAAATTAGAACTAACACTAGACCAAAAACTAGAAACATTCGGATTTAGCCGCATGTCTCTTAAGACGGCTAAATCCGATTGATTTAAGTTATAGGTCTTGTGTTAGTTCTAGTGATAGTGTTAGTGTAAAACCAGAACTAACACCAGATCTAGAACTAGAAAGTGTGTCTGAAGAGATCTAGAGTTAGTTCTACTTTCTACTACTCGTTCAATAAAAATATACCACAATTTAAGGCTGAATAACAATTAATAATAACACTGATTGATAAAAATGAACTTTTAATTTGTCACATACACTTTTTGGGCATTTTTGACTTTATTTAGACTCCCTAAGGTGGAAAACAGACGTAGAAAAATTTTGGAACCCATATTTTTTTGGCTTGAAGCTGGTCTCTTGCTTCCATTTGCCTTGGTATCGTTTTTCCATGCTGGAAATATCCTGATGGAATCTTTCTCCATGTTCGAAAATTTCTTCCTTTACTTTAGCGTCACTAACTTTTCTTTCAAGTGCATAAAACCTGAATCGTTGCGATCTATGGCTTTGACAAAATTTTTTATCAGACCTAGTTTTATAGGTAGTGGTGGCAGAAGTACTTTGGTGGGCTCGACAAGAGGAAAATGTAAAACATTTTTATTTCCAGGAGGACTCGTGCTTTGGCCAGTCTTTCTTGTAGAAATGATTGTTTCGATCTCTGCTATCCCACTCACATAAAAAGCAACAATACTTTGTAAAATCCAGATGCAATCCCAGAAGTAACGCAATGACTTTGAAGTTACCACATAATTTAAATGAAAATTGATTATACTAAATTTTTTCTAGTATCGATTTCATGTTTTCGTAAGTTTCTTTCATACCGTAAGCATATGCTACCGGAACAGAGTGTAATCTATTTCCATTTTGCAAGAGTACAGCTTTAAACTGGTTTTTGATGAATCTATAAGCAAGCGCCAAGCTTGTGGTTCAAATTCAATATCTACCAAGTTCATGACCGAAGTAATATCATTGCAATACACTAAATTTTTTTCTTGTGAAAAATATTTTGTTAGTTCTTTGTCACGGCTACGAAAAAGACACACCTTAGTATCGGGATGAAGCAAATTTCTTTCTTTCAACATGAATTCTAATACTTCTGTCTGCCTTTTAACAATTTTAAGTCGCGAACCAGAGCATTAAGATCAGCTTGAGTTAAGAAATGAGGTTCGTTACATGAAATGAGGTTCGTCATTTGTCTGATTTGGCATTGCAGGTACAAGTAAATCAGCACTATGACGAAGTGGTCGTGATGCAGAATGTACATTTGAATATTTCACAGTATGTTTTGACGCCACATTCATTCCATTTATACTAGTCAAGCAAAAGTAGCAATCAGATACGTGATCTACAGGTTCTGTCCAAATCATGGGCTTTCCGAAAGCCATATATCGCATTCCTTTGGCCCGTCCTGTAAGATTTTTTACGCATGTCGTACGTATATGAGGCGCCCAATACTTATCTTGATGAGCCACAGAGAAACCAAAATATACACGATCACACTGCTTCACCAGTTCAGTGAAATTTTGTTGCTGGCTTTTGAAAGTCAGTTCACCACATAAGTAGCAAAAACTGTTAGGATGATTAATACATTTTCTTTGCATGAAGCTAACAATGATTATCTTATGTATGCTAAACTCACAATTTCACACTATTAAATATAGTAAGATCATAAGTGGCTGTCACACCAAATTTGTGGGTGACAGAAAAATATAATTTCTGTTTTATAATGAGGGCATGTAGTAAAATAATAATTAGCATACAGAATTCGTGTGCCAAAAACCTTGTTGATCAGTGTAATTAGACCTAGAAATGATTGTAGTTCTAGGTCTTCTGTTAGTTCTAATGATAGTGCTACTGTAAAACTAAAACTAACACTACACCTAGAACTAGAAAGTTTGAAATAACAATGGCACTCTTCCTCATCAAAACAACAATAACTTTATAAATCTCAAAACAATTTCTGCTTAAAATCGTTACAACATCAAGTGGCAAGGAGAAATCAAAGAACTCATGAATTCCGGCAGATATGATTCGTATTTATCGCAGTTGAAAAATATATGATTCAAATCCCCCGTCTCAAACTCACACGAACAATTAGGAGACTGTAAAACATTAATTTTATTTAGATGGGCACGGTAACATCCTTGGCTGGACTTCAGCCTGACAACAGTTGAAAAGAAAGTTCTAGAAACGTCACGCCCACTATACCATTGATGGTAAAGTGTACGAGGATTAACTCGAATGTACTGAGTCTGCTTGTGCTAATATGTTTGATTCCAGTGTCTCCTTTACAAGTTTCTACCTGCAGATAGATGAGACCTCAAAAGAAGAAAGTTCGTTTTTAACCAGCTTGCCGTTCTGCAAGGCTGTCTTAGCTAGCTTATCTACATGCTTATTAAGGACAAAACCAGCGTTAGCCTTTACCCATAAAAGTTTTAGAACATGGCCTTGATCATTCAGCCTAGTGACATTGTTCAAAATGTCCACTATAACAAGCTGGTACTTCGAGAAGTATTTCCTGTGTTTTATAGATAGTACGACACTTTTTGAATCGGTGAATATACTAACGCTACTATTTGGACCTATATTTCTATCTATATACTTTTAAGGCCTCCAAAATTACTATTGGTTCCACTGCAAAAATACTAATGGATGGATTAAGTTTAAAACTGGCATGCTAATCAATAGTGGGTATCAAAAAAGCACAACCAACACCACCACTTGCAGATTTGGAAACATCAGTATAAATAAGCAAACTACCCTCTATTAATACCCTGCAGTTGTTGATCAACAAACAATTCTTTGTTTACTTGCTTACAACTAACTTAAACCTACCTAAATTCCTAATTGGCAAAATAAAGACAAGGAATAAAAGAAAGAGAGGAAAGATAGGATTGATGACCAATAGGGTCGACACAAGTCGCGGGCAAGGTATTTCGCGAATATTGCTAACTAAGGAAAAGGATCATGTTAAACTATTTTATTACATTAATAGAAAAGAAAATGGTTTTGGCTTTTAAAATAAAGAGAAGAGAAGAATTAAGAGAAGAGAATAAAAAGAAGTAAAAATTATACACTCGCAACATCTGCTCTGTGATCTCGGACATAAATATCTCGATCGCGAAAGATGTCTACAATACTGTGTCACTTTAGCTGGAAATCCAACACAGTTCATCTTTTGCTCCAATAAGCCCAGGTTTACCGAATTGTATGCGCTTTTCAAATCAAGAAATAATCTGGCGCAATATTGATTTTTTGAAAAAGCAAGAAGTTGAACCTCGGTAACCAAATCTACCACTGCATCCAGCGAACTAAACGATTTTCTGAAGCCATATTGTTGACAAGGCAGAATTTTATTTTGGTTCAAGACGCGCTTTTATTAATCTCTCGTATTTTTTCAAAAAACACGACAGTAGTGAAATAGGCCGGAAAGAATCTGCACCACAAGACGGGTAATTCTTTGGGATGGGCACAACTACAATACTTTTGAATTCCTTGACATAATTAAATGCATCTTAAGTGAAATTCACTGTATAAAAATCTTTTTACCAATTATTTCACATTTTTTCAAAAAAAAAACACATACAGTGATACAATAAAGTAATATAATATATATGTTTATTGATGATGCAACAAAGAATTTACAAGCCCACAAAAAAAATACAAAAAATAATACATAAAAGTAAATAAAATAATAAACACTCTGAAATTATCAACAAAACCGGACTTAATAACAGCGCATCATCAAAAAGAGCCGAGTCAATGCAGACATAGCTTGTCTGCTATTGTTTTTCATCGGCCCTTTTATAATAGAAATAATAAATTAATTGGTTTCAAACAAGATAGCACTAACTATATATATATATAAAAAAACTATATTAACAGAAGTAAGCACCTAAATTAGTTAGCAATGAAAGATAACAATAATAAGGAATAATAAAAAAAAAATAAAACAAAATTAAAGAACAAAAACATAGCAAAATGAAGAAAAGGTTGAACAAGCTGCCGCGAACAATCTCCCCCTGCCCTGTTAGGTCATACAATTCAGAAATGTAAAAAGTGAATATTACCTCTTAATAAGAACTTAAATTTAAAATTTAAATTTAAATGCTGTTCTGCTCAATCAAAAGAATTTTTTATAATATGACTTGAAACTTCGCTCACTCAGCTGTTTGACTGAATCAGGAAGGCTATTCATAATAGTAGTTACATTATAAGAGTAAGATCTTTTAAAGATTTGAAGTTCATGGCGTGGTATGCATAACATGTACCGATGTCGTATATTAATATTGTGCACGTCACTGCGATACCTGATTCTATTGGCTAAATATGGTGGACATTTATACATAATAATTCTGTGAAAGAGGCAAGCACTGTGAAGGATTCTACGACGCGTCATATTCAACCAATTTGCCCAATTCAGAGTGTGTGATATGTTTTCCCGTCTTTTAATACCATATATAAACCTCAGACATGAGTTCTGCACTCTTTGGATACGCACTTTGGTTATAGAGTCTAAGCATGGATGATATAAAGCATCTCCGGACAGAACAAGAGCTTCACATAATTGGATTTTCAAACGTTGGTTAAGTAAGCTCCTGTTACTGTACAATAATTTAAGCGTCACGTAGGCTCTACGAATTAGTGAAGAAACATGTCCACGGAATCGGAGTGCGGTATCAAGACGTATACCTAAATCACAGCACTCGTCCGTAAAATTCAATTTAACACCACCCACTCCGACACTCAGAGACCCCTTGACCCTGTTCACCACACCACCACTCCCAAATACCATAACTGCTGATTTAGACGGATTAATAATCAAACAATGATTTGAAGCTTCGTGGGCCAATTTGTCTAAATCAGAATTGATAGCTCTTTCAGCCTTGTCAATGTTATTCTCATTGAATGAGTAATAGACCTGAGTATCGTCAGCATACATGTGAGCAGTGCAATAGTCTAGTACTTTTTGTAAAGCAGCCGTATAAATTAGATAGAGCAGAGGGCCAAGAATTGAACCCTGCGGCACGCCTGAGGACACCACTGCTGCTGAAGATTCCTTTCCATGAAGCTTAACAGTTTGTGACCGATTCAGGAGGTAACTATTAAAAAACTTTATGGCACCCTCCGAAAGGCCAATATGGTGGAGTATTGCTAAGAGAGTGGGGTGGTGAATGGTATCAAAGGCCTTAGAGAAGTCCAAGAGAATCAGGATCGTGGCGCTTTTTTGGTCAATTGCATGGAAAATATCATCCGTGACATCGAGAAGGGCTGTCGTACAACTGTGTCTTGAACGAAAACCAGACTGACGGACTGGTAGAATATTAAATTTATTTAGATGCTGGGTAAGTCTACATAGAGCGCGGAAAATGATAATGTCTCAGTTCTCGAAATGTATTTCAATGAAATTATGAAATTATTTCCATATTTTACATAAAAACTAACTACATACATATAAACTACATATATAAGTTATTATTAATCAAAGGGAACACAAAACATAATCATATCTTTAACTCAAAAAAGTCTACATACAGCCCTAAAAAAAGTCTATCGGTGGTCGTTATAGCTCAATAAAAATATACAACTATTTAGCGCTGACCGCTGACTAATAAATAAAACTAGACTAACACTAGCACTAGACTTAGAACTTAAAACATTCAATTTAGCCGTGAGTCTCTTAAAACGGCTAAACCTGAATGTTTCTAGTTTTAGGTGTAATGTTAGTTCTAGAAACAGTGGTAAGTAGCGTAGTTACCATAAGATATCATTACGTTGCATATTTTTATTGAACTAAAACTACAACTAACATTAGAGCTAGAACTAGAAAGTATCTAGTTCTAGGGTTAGTTCTAGTTTTACACCAGCACTATCACTAGAACTAACATAAGACCTAGAACTAGAATAATTGGGGTTTAACCGTCTTGAGAGACGTGCGGCTAAACGCGAATGTTTCTAGTTCTAGATTCTAGTGTTAGTTCTAGTTTTGCACTATCACTAGAACTAACACAAGACCTAGAACTACAACAATTCGGGTTTAGCCGTCTTGAGAGACGTGCGGCTAAATCCGAATGTTTCTAGTTCTAGATTCTAGTGTTAGTTCTAGTTTTGCACTATCACTAGAACTAACACAAGATGTAGAACTGGAATAATTCAGGTTTAGCCGTGTTGAGTGACGTGCGGCTAAACCCGAATGTTTCTAGTTCTACGTCTTGTGTTAGTTCTAGAGACAGTGGTAAGTAGCGCTAGTTAGAATAAGATATCACTTTGTTGTATATTTTAATTGAATTAAAACTAGAACTAACACTAGACCTAGAACTAGAAACTATCGGGTTTAGCCGTGCGTCTGAAGAATGTTTCTAGTTCTAGATCTAGTGTTAGTTCTAGTTTTACACTACCACTACCACTAGAGCTAACACAAGGCCTAGAACTAGAATAATTCGGGTTTAGCCGTCTTGAGCGACGTGCGGCTAAACCCGAATGTTTCTAGTTCTAGGTCTAGTGTTAGTTCTAGTTTTACACTAGTACTATCACTACAACTAACACAAGACTTAGAGAACTAGAATAATTCGGATTTACCCGTCCTGAGAGACGTGCGACTAAATCTATTCTTGTAACCTTCACTTCGTAGCACAAGTCGAACTGTTTCGACTTTGTATTAAAATAATATAGACTTCTAATATCCTTCGTTTAAAAAATTCTTTGAATTACATTTCAGGAGTTGAGATATTATCATTTTCTGGGGTGTATGTAGACTTTATTTTATCACTGTATGAATAAACAAATCTTAAATTTAAAAGATGTTTCAAATTTATTATGACTTGACAAGTTTGTCAAAACATTTTCTTAACCCCACAAGAAAAAAAAATTTTTTTTTGTGCTTTTATTATGTTTTCAGGTTAATGGAAAGAGTGTCTCGCGTGTTTATTGACACGTTAATCCGCGAAATCCCGATGGAGATTTGCCAGAGCAATATTATTTTGAGTCGCCCGGAGATACCTTGGCACGTCTACGTAAGCTCAAAAAGCAAATTTTGAATACAACCAGACGGTTATTGTTATAATTCCGACGACCTGCGTTTCTATTTGACTGCTCCCACCCACTAATTTAATTTTTTTTACTTCGAAATATTTTCAGGATCACGAGATTCCAAACAAAATCGTTGCCAAAAACTTTCCAATCTTTTTTTTTTCGGCTTATAAACGTTCCAATTACGCAAATTCGGTTTAAAAAAACGTTGAATTATTACTTAATCTAACCTAAATACCTTGTATTTTAAAAATTTTAAAATTAAGAAAGAAATTTTTTGAAATAAGATGATTTCTCTTGCTAACTGAATTTTAAAAGTAACTTTAAAATTCTCTCTTTAATAAAGTTAGGGGATTTCTGTTTAAAACGGAAGTAAGTATCATCGTATCATCAAACTTGGTCAGAGTTAAAAGTAACTTGGGTATTTAATATTAAAATACCACTTTAAATCTTTGTTAAAAGATTTTAAAGTGAACTATTTTAAAATCGTCCTTTAGATTTTAAAAAGTATATTTTTTTACAAAAAAAATGATTGACGTGACTGTTAAAATTTACAATTCATTTCGGCGAAAGCTTCAAAGCTTTCAAAGGAGTAGTAGAAAAAACATTACGGCTTTTTTCAACGTCCCTTTTGATCTACGCGGCCGTAAATGTACGAATTAGTTCTTCCATTAAATTGAATTATCCACTTAAAAACTGTTATTAAACAAAAATCATTTTTTACATTCATTTACCTTAAAAGTTTCCTTTGGACACGAAATTTGTTCTCTATCAACTGAACTTTTCCTCCTATTACATCGTTCCAAAGATCCATGTTTGGACATACCATCCATGGCGATATGATCGCGGATAATCGGCGGTGATGGAGGTGGTGGCATTTCATCTTCTTGATATCGGGGTTTCTGAAATAATAAAAAATTCAATCATTTCTCAAGTCAATCTTTCAAAAAGCTTATTTGTGTACGTTCTAATTTTACCAGAACATTTCGAAAACGTAACATGTTACGGTAAACATTCCCTGTTGTTTAGAACGTTTGCCAATTCCGCCCGGATGACAATGAGTTCAAAATTTAAGTTTATTTGATTCCAAAATAAGATTGCTTTTTAGAAATAACTATTTTTTTAATTTTGTTCAAAACAATTCCATGAAAACATTCCCGTTTAATGTTGTAAGCAACACGGATAATGTTTATTTTTAAAATTTTTTATTGACGGCATTGCAAAGTTGTGTTGCGTGCAAAGTCTTCTGGAAAACGGACAAGCGTACATGGATACGTGGCCTTTGCCGTGTTTTTGTTTGCGTGACTCACGAAATATCGCACGTCTTGCGAGGAAGAAAATTGTGTTTTGTTGAAATAAAACGGTAAATGTAAAGCGCTTCGTTTATTATTCAAGGCGGTAATGAATTTATATTTCTAATGGTATCACATACAAATGTATTTTTTTAAATTTATTTATCTACTTCCATTTGGAATTTCAAATAAAAACAAAAGCGTATGAACATAGATTTAAATTTAAAGTGTTGTTGATGTAGAAAGAAAATTTGTTTATGATTTTATTATTTTTAGACTTTTTCGCACAGGCAAATAAAACTTTTATGTTGCAGATTTTTCCTGTGAGGGTTCTCAAAAGAAATCATATCTTTCACAAAATAAATTTAGATTGTCATGACTGGAATTCCACGAGAATTCCAATTTCATAAGATACTGTACTTGGGACTTGGAAAAACTTCAAGCGGCGGTCAATAAAATTCATAATTGGACGAGGTATTAGAAAATATAGCTTAACAGAATATCTTGATCTCCGTTTAGTCTGAACTGGAAGCATCATATTAAACAGAAACCTGGGCAGATTAGAGTCAAAAGTATCTCTAATCAAAGAGACCATAATAGAACCTATCTGGACTTACATATTTGCAATTTAAGTAACTTGTATGAGGCTGACCGAATAGATGCAGCAGGTATAATTAATGAAGCAACAGATCAATAGTCTGGACTTACCAGTATTAACATATAGTTTATGATATAAAGAGAGAGAGAAAATGAGATAATTTCAAATAAGGTATCATACGTCGCTTTAAAGAGACTAATTTAAGCTTTAATTTGCGATATAACTCGCTTCTTATCTCATAAAAGTATAGGAGATGTGATTTTCTAAAAATTGAGCTCAATCAATATTTACCAAAATTTATAATTTTTTATAAATCATTTTTCCTCCTTATTTCCATTATTAACATTTCTTCATTCCTAAGAATAAACCGGAAGCGACTTTTTAAACTTTACGTTAAATTAATATCGCTAATCTAACCTACTTTCTACATGATTTTTAAAAATTCTTTTCTAACAAACTTTATCATTTCAAATAGAGTATCATACGTCGTTTTAAAGAGAATAATTTAAGCTTTAATTTGCGATATAACTCGCTTCTTAACTCCCAAAACAATAGGAGAAGCGATTTTCTAAAAATTGACTTCAATCAATATTTACGAAAATTTATATTTTTTTATGTATCATTTATCCTTCATATTTTCAGTATTAACATATAGCTTATGATACATAGTTTTAAAGAGGACGATTTAAGCTATAATTTGAAATATAAATCATTTTTTCATTCCTAAGAATGAACCGGAAGCGATTTTTTAAACTTTACGTTAAATTAATGTAATTAATCTAACCTGCTTTTTACAACATGATTTTTAAAAATTTTTTTCTAACAAACATTATCATTTCAAATAGAGTATCATACGTCGCTTTAGAGAGAATAATTTAAGCTTTAATTTGCGATATAACTCGCTTCTTATCTCCCAAAAGTATAGGAGATGTGATTTTCTAAAAATTGCCCTCAATCAATATTTACCAAAATTTATAATTTTTTATAAATCATTTTTCCTCCTTATTTCCATTATTAACATATACCTTATGATACATCGTATTAAAGAGGACGATTTAAGCTATAATTTGAGATATAAATCATTTCTTCATTCCTAAGAATAAACCGGAAGCGATTTTTTAAACTTTACGTTAAATTAATGTCGTTAATCTAACCTCCTTTTTACAACATGACTTTTAAAAATTCTTTTCCAACAAACTTTATCATTTCAAATAGAGTATCATACGTCGTTTTAAAGAGAATAATTTAAGCTTTAATTTGCGATATAACTCGCTTCTTATCTCCCAAAAGTATAGGAGATGTGATTTTCTAAAAATTGACTCAATCAATATTTACGAAAATTTATAATTTTTTATAAATCATTTTTCCTCCTTATTTCCATTATTAACATATAACTTATGATACATAGTTTTAAAGAGGACGATTTAAGCTATAATTTGAAATATAAATCATTTTTTTGTTCCTAAGAATGAACCGGAAGCGATTTTTTAAACTTTACGTTAAATTAATGTAATTAATCTAACCTCCTTTTTACAACATGATTTTTAAAAATGTTTTTCTAACTAATATTATCATTTCAAATAGAGTATCATACGTTGTTTTAAAGAGAATAATTTAAGCTTTAATTTGCGATATAACTCGCTTCTTAACTCCCAAAACTGTAGGAGATGCCATTTTCTAAAAATTGACTCAATCAATATTTACCAAAAATTATAATTTTTTACAAATCATTTTTCCTCCATATTTCCATTATTAACATATAACTTATGATACATAGTTTTAAAGAGGACGATTTAAGCTATAATTTGAAATACAAATCATTTCTTCATTCCTAAAAATAAACCGGAAGCGATTTTTTAAACTTTACGTTAATTTAATATCTTTTATCTAACCTCCTTTTTACAACATCATTTTAAAACATTCTTTTCTAACAAACTTTATAATTTCAAATAGGGTATCATACGTCGTTTTAAAGAGAATAATTTAAGCTTTAATTTGCGATATAACTCGCTTCTTATCTCACAAAACTATAGGAGATGTGATTTTTTAAAAATTGACCTCAATCAATATTTACCAAAATTTATAATTTTTTATAAATCATTTTTCCTCCTTATTTCCATTATTAACATATAGCTTATGATACATCGTATTAAAGAGGACGATTTAAGCTATAACTTGAGATACAAATCATTTCTTCATTCCTAAGAATAAACCGGAAGCGATTCTTTAAACTTTACGTTAAATTAATATCGTTAATCTAAACTCCTTTTTACAACATGGTTTTTAAAAATTCTTTTCTAACAAACATTACCATTTCAAATAGGGTATCATACGTTGTTTTAAAGAGAATAATTTAAGCTATCATTTGCGAAATAACTCGCTTAACTTCCAAAAGTATAGGAGATGTGATTTTCTAAAAATTGATCTCAATCAATATTTACCAAAATTTATAATTTTTTTTAACTCAAACTCCTAATTTCCATTATTAACATATAGCTTATGATGCATCGTTTAAAAGAGGACGAATTTGAAATATAAATCATTTTTTTATTCCTACGAATAAACCGGAAGTGAATTCTTAAACATTGCTTGGTGATTTTACAATTATATCTTAACAACAGTAATAAAAATCTAGATAAAAATAAAATACCTGTCCTTCTTCAACCCAACAACAAGAACATTTAGAAGTATGAGCCCCATTATTTCCTTTTGCATGATCCTGAGGTAAATTCTGTTCTTGTCTCAACTTCTGCCTCCGTTTTCTCACTTTATTAGGCACTCCGTACATGTAATTTGAGAATCTCCTTCTCGAATGTCTCACAATTGATACCCAATCGATCATTGTTTATCACAAAAACACCAACAGGAACAAAATGAAAACCCGAACACAAAATAAGAATTTTAACCTTCTTTTTAACTGAATTGTTACAAGTCGATGTTCAAAAAATGTTGTACAATTTTTTATTGAACGTCTTTTAAGTGTTTTTACTGGTTTCTTGGTGTGCAACAAAACGACGACGCCAATTTCAGGCCGGCGTCTACTACTGAAAACGAAGCGTTCGTTCAGGATTTTCAGCTGGTGAACTTCTCACATCAAAATTAGATCGTGCAAAAGAGGAAGGGGGCGACTACGGCGACGGCGACGTCGAGAGACGTGGTTTTTCGCGTTTCCGCGCATTTTCCCGTTGTGTTCCGGTCCTTAATAAAAGTGGGAGACCCGAGTCGAGGATGCTCGATGACCCACTCAACGTAAGCTAGGATCAGGAACCGTTCGATTTCTCACCTTTTACTAAACCCCAAAAAAAATTAATTTAAACCATAATATGTTGTTGTGAATGTCGGTTCTATTTAGATTTAAGAGAGTTTTATTTAACTCACGGGAATGTAAATAGAACAAATTGTTGTCGGGGGAATGGAATTTAAAGGATTCCGGTGAGAATGAGTAGTGAGGAGTTTAAAATTTTCTGTTCTGTGTGTCATTCATTCATGTAAATGTAAAATATTTTTGGCAAACGAATTTAGTTTGTTGGGAATACATAAAAAACATGGATTTTTGTATATTAATGGGGCGCGGGGTATTTTGAAATATGGTTATTGCATAAAGTTGTGAAATCTAAATTAATGGTTTCGTTTAAAATAAATTTTAAATGTAATGGAAATATGGAAAATGCAGAAAATAAACAAATTAAAAAGATAGTTCGAAATAAATACGCTTTTATCTGTTTTATTAATAAATATCAAAGATGAATAAATAATAACGGGATTTTATAATAGATTATTAAATAAGTTTTAATAATTAGAATAGTATATTGTTTTATATGGAAGAGAAGCAGTGCTTTTTATGGCGTGGTCTGTCGCTTAGCGACGAACGCAGTGAGTCGCTAATGACAGATGAACCGTTAAAATTGTGGCAACTTTGTTGTCATTTAATGACGTTTGAAGAAAAAAGTAATTAAATATTATAAAAGTTGTATAATCGACATTTTAACTGTCAAATTTGATAGTTAGATTT